TATAGATGTCACATGACTTATAAAAACATTCACATTTGTAAAACTCATAAAATTTTGTTTTGAATGTCAAATCAAACATATTAATACATTGATAAAACATTCATTGAAATATATTACTAAAAACTATCACTTTAAATCCATTACAAAATATTTTTCTTTCTTTAAACCTTTTTATATTTTTAATTTTGTAAAAAAATTATATAAATTTTATGAATTTAAATTTTTTAAAGAAAATATATAAATATTTTCCAACTTGTTAAAAAATAAATATATAATAAGGACAATTTGGTCAAATATACATTCCAATAATATTTTATTCCTTTAATCAAACACGATAATCTTACATTTCTGCTAAACCAACCAAACATAAAATACAACATTCCCAGTAATCCTATTCCTTGGTAATCTTTTATTCCCACTAGTAATCTTACATTCCGTGAACCAAACGCACCCTAAATACTATGAATAGGTTTAGTTCCTCAATTTCCATAATCCTTTCATTATTTCCATAAATCTTTCTAATATGAGATTTTGTATATATATGTTATTTCCTTTCATGATCAAGTTAATTACATAAATCTTTTTTAATAAATGAAATTATTATTTATTAGTTCACAAATATAATAAAAGTATTAATCAAATTCTTTTTTAGTGTTATTAAGTTTCATATAGTTTTCATAAAATAGTTTGATATTTAAATTTTTTAAAAGAATAAATAAATTATATCACTTTAAACCCAACATAAGATAATCGAAACTCCAAAATTGTTGTATTGGATAATCAAATTTATCGTTAATTTAAATTATTTCTTACCTTTTAAACATTATGAATACCATAAACATTAAAATCGAGAATAAAAATATAATATAATATAATTCAAGTTTAAAGACAATTATTAAAAAAATAGAGATCTCATAATGAAATATGAAATATATAATTAAATACTTTAAAACAATTTTATATACCAAATATTAATAAAGTTCCTACAAACATATATACAAAAAAGTATATACTTTATGAGACTACTATCGTCTTGAATCGAACTAACAAAGTATAAACTCTTATATTTAATCTAAATGTTAGAGTCAAATCCCAAATATTGCATAAGTCACCAAAGAGATCTAGAATGCAGTTTATTATTTTCAGAAAAACCTTTTCAATGATCTCGAACTTTATAATTCATTTAGATGTTAAAAAAATAATTCAAAAATACTTGAACATAATTTAGATACAAACATATATAATTGTATCGAAAAATAAACCCCAAGCGTAGTAAATCAAACTATTGAAAGATCATCAACAATCGTAAATCAGAATCGAGCATTTTGAGAATATTATCTCTGGTCGTAAATTGTGTATCCAAATCCAATCTAAGGATCCAAAACAGAGAAAATATGCATGATAACAAATAAGCGATATCTTGATTAGTCGATAGACATCAAATTCAACCTTTAAAAAATTAAACAAAGATAACGAGCAAAACAATCGATAAAGAATACCGAAATCATAACATAAGGATAGAAAAAATCATGTCATAAAGACAATACCCTCCAATCATGTTGTGATACATATTATCATCTAATTGGAGATTAATTTCATTAAATTAAATTATAATTATAATTAAATTGATAGAATATGTAAATAATGATGATCAAATTTATAATTATAATAATTTTATTAATGGTCACAATATCTTCATCAAATATTAATGCCTGCTAGATTGATTGATACAATTAAATAATTAAATAATCTAATTGATAAAATTTTAAAATTATCTATTAAAATAGAAAAGATATTAGTTAAGTGATCATTAGAATAATTTTTTAAAGTACCACGTCTACGGTTCCCATCCCCAGGCTGTTATATTGGAACCAGGTTGCACCCTATGTTAAATTGACAAGTGTCTATTGTAGACACCCGTTTTTGTCCGGGTCTTTTTTATTATTATTTATATATATATTTATTATTATTATTATTTATAATTATTATATTATTAATGTTACATTTTACATATTTTTGCAGGCCAAAGCCCGATACAACAAGGCCCAACCTAGGCTTAACCCGAGCCCATCATATGATAACCCAACAAAAATTAGGGTTTCAAAACCCTAAATCATCAGCTCAGCCGCCGCTTCTGTTGGACTTCCAGCTGCCGCCGACTTCAACTCCTCAGCTTCCCAGCAGTGAGCCAATCACCGAGCCACCACTCCGATGGTCCAGCCGCCGACCCAACTGCTCCACTATCGTCATCTACAGCAGAATCAATCAAACAGAAAATAAAACATCATCAACAGTAGACCAAATCACCCTCAAATCTGAAAACCCATTAAAAAAGTCCTAAATCCCTAAATATTTGGCTTTTGGTACTAACCCGAGCCTAGGAACATGATTCCTATCAAATGGAGATGATGATTCTCAGCAAAAAAAGGACCATAAAAAAGAGACATGCAATGACAGGGGGGGGTCATTCGGGTGAAAAAAAAAAGAGGAAAGAATCGGTTTGAAAAGAAATCAAAACCTATTCGAAACTTCAAACAAAAATACGAAAAAAAACCGAGAGAGGGGAACCCATACCTTGATCGGAGGAACCATCGGAAGTCCAAAGGGTCGTTGGAGTCTCGGTTTTCCGTGAGGTAAATCCTAAATCTAGGGTTTTCTGTTTGGATTTTGGGGTAGGGGACTTTAGATTTGGGTTGAGAGCTAAGAGAGGAACGTTGTGAGAAGTTTCGCTCTCTCCGGCCTCCGTGCGCCGCCGTCGTCGCCGCCGTGAGCGCCACCGGCGACGGCGTTTTTTCTTTTCTCTTACGTGGGAGTTGAGAGAGTTCTGAAACTCTCTCTCCCTCTGTTTTATTAATTAAAACCAAATGAGAAAGGGGGAAGGAAATAAGCCGGTTTTGGGCTTATATTTCCAAAACGAAACGGCGACGTTTAACAGGGGAGGAATTCTGTAATTTCACGCATGGGGTAACTACGCTTTTGGTCCCTGATCCTTTGTAACCGCACGATTTAGCCATGGAATGAAGTTTACATTATTTCAATTTGAGCCTTTATCTTTTCACTTTTACATTTTAGCCACTATCCTAGGTATTATAACATTTTTGTTTATATTTGGTTCTGGTTTCAGTATTTTTAAATGTTACATCTTAGCCACTGATTTAATATTTCATGTATGTTTCTTTGATATTCGAATCTGGCCATCACATTTATAAATATTTTATTTTAGTCCTATTAATGTATGTTATGTCATTTTTGTGGATATTTGATTTTGGTCCCAATGTTTATAATAGTTTCATTTTAGTCACTGATCATGTGTTATATTTTTTATGTTCGAATTTGACAGCAACATTTGTAAATCTTTCATTTTGGTCACTGTTTTACTTTTGGTTTAATTTTTTATTCAGCCTTCATGTTTATATTTTAATGCAATCTAGTCCTAAGCATTATTTATGGCTTATTCACATTTCTGATGTTTGTATTAGTTGTTGTTTGTGATTTGGGCCCTGTTTATTTTGTAATTATTTTTTAGCCCTGTTAATTTCTGCTTTTACTAATTTAGTCCATTATGTTTATGTATTTTTATTTTAGTCCTATTATTACATGTTATATTATTATACTCATATTTTACTTTGGCCACAATGTTTGTATTAGTTTCATTTTAGTCACTGATTTTGTATGTTGTATATTTTGGCTAATGTTCAAATTTGACTCTAAGATTTGTAAATCTGTTTATTTTGGTCACTAGTGTGCATTCGGTTTAATTACTATTTTAGTCCCTACGTTTCTGTTTTTGCCATTTTAGTCTTTTAATTTTCTATTTTTCTGTTTTAGCCCTTTAATTTGTTATTACCATGTTAGTCATTGTAATTATTAAATACTTACTTTTTGACCATTATATTTTGGGTTGTAACATTCTTTTAATCCCCTAGGTATGTACATTTTTCATGTTAAGTATTTTATTTGTACCATATGTAATTAAATATGCTTAATTTTATTTGTTGTAAATATTTATTTCACATATTTCTATTTCTATTTATTTCCATTTTTCTTTATTTAAATATTGTCCAAATACTTTTGAGAACACGTATGCGTAGAATGAGCGTGGAAAGTATCACTTGGTCGAAGTGGTGCGATCCGATACGGCATTTTAACGACATAGGAAATTGCAACAAGTCGAGTATATTTCACTAATTAATTTGTGCAAATGATGCAATGTGTGTTATTTTAAATAGTAATTTATTTTATTTTATGTAAATGTCAATTTCAAAATTTGCATTCGTATTCAATTCACATTTTAGTTAATCAATTTATTTTGTTGTATGCAAACATCAATTTTATTTATATTCGATTCACATTTTATCAAGAGGGAAATATTCTTTATGGATGAGAAATAGTCGAGTTAGCTTTCCCGATGGAGGATTGCTAATTTCGAGATTTCTTTTCGAGTTAAAGAATTTTCTCTAATTATTTAATTCGAAGCAAATTAATCAACGTTCGATAAATAGATCACATTTTAACTTTATATTCGACTCATAAATTCCACCATTTACAATGATGTGTAAGCGACACAGTACCAATTTTGGGCGTTGCGGGGGTGTTTACCCTTCCCCGCACGTAACCGACTCCCGAATCCATTTAAATGAATCTTTGGTAACGCAGACCGAATCTTGTCTAAAAATGATTTTTCTTAAAATTGTTTTAAAAGACGTTTTTAGGTATTCGACCTACCTAACCCAAAAGTTGATGGCGACTCTATTCAATTTTATTCCAAATTAATTCAAAAAATCACAAAATTTTCAAATTAAAGCCATAATCGTTTTTTAAAATAATAAATAATTGTTAAACAAAAAAATGGTTATGACATCTATTAAAATAAAAAAGATATTAGTTAAGTGATCATAAGAATAATTTTTTAGAGTACCACGTCTACGGTTCCCATCCCCAGGCTGTTATATTGGAACCAGGTTGCACCCTATGTTAAATTGACAAGTGTCAATATTTATTCCCCAAAGCAACAGACGGTGCATAGAGAATCTCCAAACTACCGACCATTTCCTTCTCCACTAACTCCTATTCCAACAAACCTCCGACCTTCGTGGCGACGACATCGGTGACTCCTTTTTCATAAGACCGAAGCAGCTGCAGTTCGCGCCACTTGTTAGTTCCTCATTCGTATTAGTCTGTGATTAATATTAAACCAAATTATTTCTCTCTTAAATTGGAAAAGTAGAAATTGTAGATTTGGCTTTTAAGGCTTTTCTGGGTTCTCTATATCGATCTTATATTATCCCTTTTCTTTTCGGTTTGCTTTGATGTTTCTTAAAGCTTTGTTAATTATTCTTTTTGGGTTGTTTTGATTGAAAAGTTTTTCAAAGAGAGGTGGCAGAGGAGGTGGGGGTCCAGACATGACTGCCGGTGACGCTAATCAGTTGATTTCTGTTCAACCCAATGACCTCAAGTTCCTTTGTAAGTCCAATCTTTTATATGTCCACACCTCCATTCATGCATGCATGCATGCATGATGTTTGTATGTATGCTTGTATGTACACATGCTTCAAATTGTATATATATGCATGTGGATGGATGTTCATGATTCAATTCCATGGTTGTGTGATGAACTAGGGGAAGGAAAAATATGTGTGCAAACGATTGGTGTTGTGTTGAATTTCAGGTCTTGGTTGGGAAGGTCGCTATGGAGATGATCCCTATTTTGTTTGATTGATATATTTTTTTATTGTTTTGCTTCTTATGTTTCGAATTCTTGACTTCATTAGTGTCCATTGCAGGGACGACGTATTTTATGTTAGGAGAATGAATAGCTAAAACATATTATCAATAGAAAATAAAAAAAAATACTTAAATTATATTAGAATTTAAAATTCTCAAGAGGTCACCTGGCCAGCCCCCATCGGTCCATCCATCCATGGTCCCTTGTCTGTAATAGGCAACAATTGCTCTGATGTTTTTCGAATGCTAACTTGTATGAATAATAGGTGATGTAACCTATCATTCTTTAAAAGATTCAGGGAGGAGAAAGCAATTTTGAATTTTTTTTAGTTTATCAGTCTTTGTAACATTTCAAAGCTCATCGATGTTTAGGTACCTTAATTTCTGCATTTCAGAGCCTCTATTTTTCTAAAAATCCTTCTTAGACGTCATAATGCACATTTTTCTTTTGTATATTTTTTTGTTCGACAAGTTTTTTAGTTTACTTTTGTTCATGGGATATATGTTTTCAGTTGAGCTAGACAAGCCAATTTTGTGTAATCTGCAACTGATGAACAACACAGATAACCATGTGGCTTTTAAGGTACCATTTCTGTCATTGTTGCATATGTGCATGAATATATTGTTATGTTTATGTTCATTCTCCTCCCGTTATATGATTGTTTGATTTTAATTTTCCCAACTTGTTATCATGTTAGGTTAAAACAACTTCACCTAAGAAGTACTTTGTGCGACCGAACACCGGTATCGTAATGCCTCAAGACTCATGTATCATCAGAGGTATTGTTTTTGATCCCACAAACCATTTCATTTCCTGTAACACCCCCCAACCCATACCCGACCTGGATTCGAGTCCGAGTGTCACATTGACTTTTCAAAACATTTACTTGTATAAAATAGTGAGTAATTTAAAAACTTTGATAACATTTAACTTATTCAAAACGTTTACAAAATATATCAGAGTTCATACAATTTAGATCCTTAGACTATATGCCAACTACACTCTATAACCAGTACATATATTTTCTGATCTGACATTTGGTAAGGAGAACTGAGCTGTCTTGCTCCGCATTACTCTTTACTCTTCTCGAAACCTACGTGTGAAACAATCACACGCTAAGTCGAAGACTTAGTGAGGCATAACAACTTATAATGCACTTTATAACATATATCAATACATGCATGTTCTGTTCTATCATGTTATATCAATTCCATGCATTCTTTGTATCATATAAAATCATATCAAATTAATTACAGTAAATACATACATACACATAATTCATCATTAACAGTTTATCATGTAATCACATACTTTTATGGTTAACCTTTTCAATCAAACACTATACACACACAACATCATATCATTTCTATAACATTTATCATACCACTAACATATATTTGTTCATATCTCTGGATTAGCCCATGTACATATGTGAGAACTATCGATATGTGAGTCTATAGAGGTTGTGCACTAATGCTGTCACCACAGCTCGTATAATTGCACTGAAGTGCCGCGTAGAATTGCACCGTAGTGCCATATAATAATGTCCATAAGGACCACATATTATTCCTTAAGAATCATATACATATACTAGGGATCAAGTATGTGTCTTTCAAGACTTCACACATGTTCCACAGAATATATATATATCCCAAAGGACCGCGTAGAATTGCACCGTAGTGCCATATAATAATGTCCATAAGGACCACATATTATTCCTTAAGAATCATATACATATACTAGGGATCAAGTATGTGTCTTTCAAGACTTCACACATGTTCCACAGAATATATATATATCCCGAAGGACCGCGTAGACCCTCGACTCTTGGCATGCCAACTATACCCCTAGCTCTCATGACACATAACATGGGCGTTATCATTTATTTCATTTCAAATATTCACATAAACTTGTAATTCACTTTCACATATCACGTATCACATAGCTTCTTTTCATAGTATCACATAGTCACATAGTTCACTTACACGTAGATCATTTCCATATAATTCACATGTCACATATATCATGTTTTCATATAATGTCTATCATTTCTCACCCAATCACATTTATTCATGTAAACATATTTATCATATCTTGTTCACATAAGATCATATACTTCATATAACATATAGAAAACCTAGAACACTTTCACGTAGCTTATATCAATTTTCAGAGTCCTTTCATATTATCTGATGACATATATCATATAGATATATAATAAATGATATCATATTATCTACCTTATGCTCCATTTCTTTGTATTCCCTTTTTCATATCAGCATACATTTAAATATTCTTATATGTCCTATCAATATCCTATAAACTTACTCATATTCTCATATATCATATTTTAATATAATTTGAATAGTAATACTCTATAATTGTATCATATAATGATTTTACCCAAGTACTCCTTTATAAAGTTTATATTACATGTTCAATTATTCTCATGCTATCTTATAAATAATTTCCATTTATTTTATATCATTTTCCTTTTTCACTCACATAAACCATCTATTTATTTAGTTCAATTTCTCATGACTTCCCCAATACTCTTTAATAAAACTTTGTAGCTCTTCACTATAATACATAAACCATAGTTTCCTTTAATTTATCAATCTTCCCTATATTACTTATGTATCCTTATTTATGCCCTCGAATTCATACTATTCTCTTAGAGTCTCCTAACATTTCTCGTATAATTACTTATACCATCATATAACTTATACTTGATTATCTTATTCTCTCATATTCATTTCATTTCTTATGACTCTATCATATAACTTATTTCATGTTCTTACATTATTACATATTAAAGTCTTACATACATCATATAGCATATACTAAGCATATCCTTATCTTTAGTCATGCATACATACAATCAATGTAATATAGATAATCACATATAATTATAACCACACATAATCATGTCCACGACTTCATGCATATTACTCTAGGAAATAGACTCATCGCAAGTCTTATTTCCATTAAACACTACATATCACTAGTATGCACTCACCTGGCCTCACTAGTCCATTCCAATCTCTTATCTTCCCTTTTTATCGATCTTACTTGTCAATGATTCCGGAACTCGTTTAGGCTCGATATCTACATAGTAATTCATTGATACTTATCAGTATACTGATTGATATATTCGAAACTATCACTCCTTAGTCTCAAAGAAAAGCCAATTTCATCTTTTAATGAAGGTATGCATCGATGCACTACACCATGCATCGATGCATAAATCCTATTCGATGTTTGTATTTAATGGGGATGCATCGATGCACTCCTTATGCATCGATGCATAAATCCTATTCGATGTTTTCTATTTAAATTCATGCATCGATGCACTGCATATGCATCGATGCACCTTAAACAATTTCTGGTATTTATCATCGATGCATTGGTGCATAATGAATGTGCATCGATGCACATTGCCCAGAACTGACATTTTAGCACGTAAATCATCAACTCTTCCCTTAATTCTTCTATTTTAAGCCCCTATTATGACATTAAACTCAATTACCATTACTTGAACCAACTTATATCCATGTAAATCATCTTTAACCTCAAAATCCTATCTTCCTTATAAGATTCAAGAATCATACCAAATTTTTCACATGTTTCAAATCCAGTTCTAACACTTAATACTTCTTAATTAAGCTGATGACAAGTCAAATCCAACTTTAGAACTTCAAAAACCTTTCTATAACAAAAGTTCATTTATAAACCCTTAATAGAAATTCCTTTCTAATTCTATCTCTTTGGTGTTTTAAACTTATATAAGCTTTCCTTAAGCTTATATAACCCTCAAAGACTCAAATCCAACTTAAAACTTTCAAGAAATCAAAAGCTAAATCAAACTTACCTTTGCTCTTGGCTTCCACGTGAAGAAGAAGAAGAAAGGAGAAGAGAATTCTGGACGTGTATATAATTCCATTTTTTTTTCTTAAATGATCAAATGACCATTTTACCCTTTATTTCCTTTAATAATTACTGAATAATCTTCATCATATTTCCAAGAAGTCATTGAATTATTCAATTATCCTACTTTAGTCACCAAATTCTGAAACTTTACAATTTGGTCACTAACCCGGTATTGCGGATGTTACATTTCCAGTAAGAAATTTACGATAGCAAGTAATTTCTCTGTTAGTTCATTGAGATTACATAATGTATGATACCGGTTTCATTGATCTATCAGTCACTCTCCAAGCCCAAAGCGAATATCCTCCCCATATGCAATGCAAGGACAAATTTCTGCTACAGAGTACTATAGTGCCACCAAATACTGATGTAGATGATCTCCCAGCAGATACTGTAAGATTGCTTACATGGAGATTAATGTTTTCATTTGACTACCTTTATGATATTGTCTAAAAACAAATTTGATTTTTGGAATGCTATCTGTGTCTTTACATCCAGTTCAATAAGGATGGTTCTAAGGAGGTAAAGGAGTGCAAACTTAAAGTTTTCTATGAATCTCTCTCGGGTCAAGCAAATTCAGAAAACGGAGGATTAAAGAGCTTCACATCACAAACCCCCGATGCAAACTCGGTGAGTCTTGTTGTTGATCTGCACTTTCTAGACTGTAGTTTTCTAGTGTAACAACCCGATTCATCTTCCTTGTAATAGTAAGGAAGAAATGTGCATGCTGAGACCTTTTGATTAGTTATCTGGAATTCACAAATTGGTTTTGAATGTAAGCAAGCCGATATTATGAACTGCACATACTCATTTCAGTTTATGTATGCAAATCTTGAGCGCATGATTTCATGTCCTCGTTATCTATGTCTTATCTATGAAATGCATATTATGGGATTAAGGATCTTGGTTTTCCCCCACTAAAAAATTTCAGTTAGCTACTGAAAGTTATTTTCTTTCTACTTTTTAAGAAATTTTTCTGGTGAAGCTATTTCAAAATACTCAAAAACCCAAAATCTGGTTTCCATGCCTTCATTTCTAAAGTTACTTTCATTATTCATGAAATCAGACCATACAGCACCTTAAGGATGAAAGAGATGCTGCAGTTCGGCAAACAGTGCAGCTGCAACAAGACCTGGTATGTTTTTACTTATGATATTTTGTTATCAGTTTCCGTCACAAGTTGACGAGTGCCCCAATAATAAGCTAAAAAATGGACAGACACACCAATACAGCGAAAACAATAAGAGAAATTTGGTTTGCTAATTTAGAATTTAATATGGTTTTTGCATCTTTTAGTTTGTCCCTCGTGTAAAAGTGTCATTATTAGCTGTTTCTTAAGAGATTAACTATGTTGATCTTCTAAATGATTGAAATTCAAGCCCAAAACTTCCGTTGCTGTGATGAATGCAGTATTGGGTTATGTTTGCTAGTTAAAATACCATGTATATCGATAATGTAAGTCTCCAATTCTTGAACTGGAGCAAACTGAATGGTAAATCTGAGAACTATATAATTCATGCATGTTTATGTTTTTCCTCAACAGGATTTTCTCAAGAGGCAAAGGAGACGTAGGAACGACTCCGGCTTCTCCTTCATGTTCGCATCCGTTGTGGGACTGATAGGGATAATGGTTGGTTTTCTGTTAAATCTTTCCTTGGCTTCACCATCGTCGGAATGAATATACACCGTGTGTAGGAACCAGTGATTTTGTTCATCGTATAATGCCCGAGTGTTCATGTTCTGCTTGATGGAGAGTCTTCCCATTTCCTTGCCTTTCTGTATATTTGATCTTTGTCCATAGCCATATGTTTTTGATCAACTGCTTTTTGTTTTTGAATTTGTTTTCATTCAATCCATAAGTTGAAATGTGACTTAAGAGTAATGTTATCAGTAAACAATTTCATTTATTAACATATAATACAAGTTTGTAGGACATGCTTGCATCTAAATTCATACATCTTTTATTTAATTTTATCTACATTGATTAATCTTTAATGTTAAATTACAGGATATTGATATAAATGGTTTACAGAATTCTTTTTATTTAATTTTTCTAAATTTCACATCTAACATATTACTAATATAATTAAGGCTTAACGAATTTTGTAGTGTGGTTAAAATATGATGTTGAAATTTATGAATGTGATAATCAAAGTGTTTAAGTGGATAATTGATATGTTATGGATTCGATTTAAATTTAAGTTAAAATGAGACTATTAATTGATTTGATAATAAAAGATTTTTATAATATTGTTGGATGAGATATTAAATTTGTTAATGTAAAAATAGTGAATGAATTGTGTGATTGTATGTTTGATTCAATAAATTTTTGCTTCCACCATTATTTGTGATATTTTTGACTCTATTTAGGGTTAAGTCGGATAAAAGGTGTTACAATAGATTGATTGATTTTAACCTATGGTAATATTCTTCTTCCGGGGGGTTTTTTTTTTAATAATACAGAATATAGCAATCTTAGATCAAGGAGCTCTATCCTGACTCAGTAAATGAGCCACTTCGCTCGGAGGATCCCAATAAATAGTCGAACCAATCGTATAATCTCTAACCATTGTAGCAAGCTTATCAATCACTGCATTTTTCTCTTGAGGCACATGCTTTATCTTCAACTCCCAGTCTTTATTCATAAGGTCACATATCAGTAAGGCTATTGCATTACCATTTACCGCCCGCTGTCTGAGGAGATCCATCAACCATTTTCACTGCTATTGTGCAATCGGACTCCATTTCAATTTTCCTGAAGCCTTGGTTCCAAGATAGATTCAACCTATCATATATCGCCCAACGTTCTGCATTCACAACGAAGCAAATGCCTAGACTTCGAGAGAAACCAAGGATCCATTCACCATGTTCATCCCGTAAAACGCCTCCAGCCGCAGCCATGTTCCTCTAACCACCAACGGCACCGTCAGTGTTCGCCTTTACCCAATTTTCAGCAGGCTTTTTCTACCCTTCAACAGGCCGTTGCACCGCTCGTGGACTTGGAGATATCACTATGTTTGCTATAATTTCATTTTTAAATCGCACACTTTGGATTAGTATATCCTCATGTTCAACAGAGGTTGGCTCAAACAACACCTTACATCTACGTTTCAAAATGCTCCAGCAGATGATAGGAAACAAAATTTCCCAGTGTGAAACATCTAAACCAAAATCTGTTGGAAAAAATGGTAAATTACACCGATGCATTTAATATTTTATATTAAATTCAGAGTCTTTTTAAATATTGCAAATTAAAATAATATTTATTTAATTTGAATAATAAAAAGTGGAACTATATGTTTAATATTTAAATTTAAAAGATATTTATTATCTGTTAAGTTTAAATATTAAAAGAGTTTTGATTTAAGTAAAACTCTTAGGTTTAATATTTTAAATTTAAAAGATATTATAAAGAATTTGATTTCTTTTTTAATTCTCTTTTATTATAAAGAATTTGATTTCTTTCTTTTACTTTTTTTCAAGTTCCATTATTGTCTTGGATTGTTACTTCGGTCAACAATCTTAAAACAAACTTTTTATCTTCTACCTCTTTTGATCCGAAATAATTCAGAATTGCAGGAATTACGAGATAATCAACAAAATTGTTTCGGGATTTATCCTGTCATCTTAACGGGTTTACTAAAGATCTCAAAATGGATAAATATGTATAACCGAAATTGTTGTGAAAGTAACTGTGGTTACTGATTCTGTTTCAGAATTTTGATTATGTCCGATAACAAATTCTAAAATAAACAAGAATTAATTTTCTGTTTATTGGAATCTTTGATTTCATATTTGAAATCAATTGGGATTTTAATTCTGTCACGTAACAAAAAATTTTGATTTCTATTAATAGAAATTATGGGAAAGTAACAAGTTTGTTACTAATTTGTTTAAAAAAATTTAGTCTCTAACCAAAATTTGTTGGTACAATAAACTAGAATTTATTTCGATTTATGGGATTATTACTAATTCTAAATGGAATAATGGGTAATTTCAATGATTCACCTAATTCGTGATTTGGAACATTATTTTTCTTACTCAATGTTTGAATTAAATTCAACGGTATTGATGGTGTAAGCCACAACGAGAAACTTGAAAAAATCTATGGAAAGAATGTCAAGATACAACAATACAAGAGGTTGATCTATTTGGTCATGTTGAGTTTGGCCAAATACTAAACAATCCTCCTATTATTAGAGAGGATGAGGTAAATATTATTACCATATTAAAAAGGAAATGCATGAAAGCATTAATCATGACATTTTAATATAGAATATTAAATATGACATGAATAAAGAATATCTTTCGATATTTATAATTATTATAAAATATTATAATAATTATGGCTAGTGTTTGGAAACACTAAACTATTAATTTATTTTTGAGAAATTTTATAGATACAAACAGATTCAGAGTTTAATCAAAGGCTTTTGAATACTTGATTGTTAAAGTTAAAGGATTAGTTCCTTTTATTTCTGGTTGTTAATCAGAATACAGTTGCCTTGATATATCTGTTTCGAAAGATATAACACTAGAAAAGGAGAAATAAATTTTTGAATTTATTTCACCTTAGAATCTTGCGTTGATTCTAACTTTGAAAAGAAAATAAATTGTTGAATTTATTTTCCTATGAATCTTATATGATTATGTTTGGTAAAACAATAAAACGTCAAATTTATTTTCTTGGAAATCTTGATCGATTTCATCTTATAGAAGATAAATAGTTAAATTTATTTTCATAGAAATTTTGTATGATTATGTTTGTAAAAGAAATTAAATTGTTGGATTTATTTCTTGAGAATCAAATATGATTTTATCTTGTAAAAAGAAATAAATTGTTGAATTTATTTCTTGAATGTCTTGAATCAAAGCTTGGAAAACATGGTTTTCTAAGATGTAATCACATTTTCAAAGCCTTATCTAATACATGTTATGAAGTGTACAATGTTTAAAATGACTAAAGAATTATGGACGACATTAGACCATAAATATGAAGCGGAAGATGGTGACACTAAGGAAATTTTAGTGGTAAAGTTCTTAAAATTCGTAATAATGGAACAGAAGAGGAAAAATAAATGTTTTATTACTTCCATTGGTGATAGAAAAAGTGTTGCTATGTATATTTGCTTAAGAGAAAAGATAAAGTTATAGAGGAATTTATACTCTATAAGTACGAAGTTGAAAACCAACTTAATAAATAGATTAAGATGGTAAGAAGTGATAGTGATGGTGAATATGTTAAACCATTATGCACAACATGATATTATTCATGAAGTGAAATCACTATACTCTCCTAAAATAAATGGAGTAGAAAACGGAAGATTGAACAATGAACGCAATGCTAAGAAGTTATGGGTTATCACAGAACATGTAGGGGAAATTGTCCTCTCAGCTAATTACCTTTTAAATAAGCTACCCCAAAAGGAAAAACACAAGACACAATATGAATTATAGAAAGGTAAGGAACCTTCCTACAAACGTTTGATAATGTGGGGGTGTCTTGCCAATGAAATGGCCCCATTACCAAAGCAAATGAAAATAGGTCCTAGAATCGTGGATTGTATTTTCATAGGTTATGCAGAACATAACAATGCATATCGATTTCTTGTATATGGATCAAAGAATCATGAGATTCACAAGAACACAATAATGGAATCAAAGAATGCATCATTCTTTGAAAATATTTTCCCTTATAAATCTAAGGAGGTTGATCGAAGTTCAATAAAATGAACTTTAGAAACTAATAATGAGGATAGTCTAGATGATCAACAAGAGGTTGAAACTGAGATAGAGCCAAGAAGGAGTAAACAAGCAAGGGTTGAAAAATCCTTTAGGCCAAACTTCTTAACTTTTATGTTGGAGGTTGAACCTCAAACGTATAGTGAAGTTATATGATCCTATAAAGGTACCTTATGGAAAAAAGCCATTAAGAGGGAAATAGATTCCATCATTCAGAATCATACATGGGAATTAGTGGATTTTCCTACAGGGATTAGACCACTAAATTTTAAATGGATTTTCAAATGGAAAAATGAAAGAATATGAAATAATTGATAAGTACAATGCTAGATTGGTAATAAAAGGATACTGTCAAAAGGAAGGCCTTAACTACTTTGATACATATTCTCCTGTATCAAGAATAACATCCACAAGAATGATACTCACAATTGTCACTTCGTGAAATCTAGAAGTACATCAAATGCATGTTAAAACAGCTTTATTGAATGGGGGCCTTAACGAAAGAAATTTACATAGAACAACCTAAGGGCCATGTAATCCTATGTCAAGAAAGGAAAGTATATAGGTTAGTGAAGTCTTGATATGGACTTAAACAAGTACCAAAACAATGGCATTAGAAGTTCAATAGTGCCATGATGACAAACGGCTTCAAGATAAATCAATGTGGAAAATGTTTATATGTCAAAACTACAAACATGGGATATGTGATTCTATGCTTATGTGCTGATGAAATACTCATTGTTGGGAGTAACAATGAAATGGTAAAACATACCAAAGACATGTTAAATTTGAGATTTGACATGAAATATATGAGATTATTCGATACGATTCTAGGCATCCAAATTAAAAGGTCATTCTAATATAGTCACACTATGTGGACAAGATCCTTGAGAAATTTAACAAGGATGATTCTGGTATGGTCATAACTCCAATAGACTCTTGTTCATATTTGTCTAAAAATCAAGGAGAGAAAGTGTTCACCAGGTGGAATATGCAAGGGTAATAGGTAACTTAATGTAATGAGTTGTACGAGACCAGACATCACTTTTACTATGAGCAGTCTAAGTAGATTCACGAGCAATCCAAGTGAAAATCACTAGA